TAGGACACCCTCACGCTTCCTTCCGTCTGGCCGAAGGACCCCTGATCAGCATTGATTGCTCCAACATCGTGGAGGATTGACTGTCAGCTTGCCCTACTTCCACCTTTCCTCTCAGGACTAGTATAAGAACCTGTCAGATAAACATGAAAAGCAAGAAAGGTCTGAGAAGCTACAACTGCTACCAATTCTGTCTAAACCCTAAACTCTGCATATGAGCCTCTTGAAATCTCTGGCATTCGAACCCGTGCTTGTCTTGTTTCGGTCCAAAGCCTTAAATCCTAAACTCTCTCTCTTCCCCCAACCTATACACACTCGCAAATAATGTGTGTGTCTCATTTTCAATAGTCTCATTTCCCCGGACCTTCATATGTCAAGCGTCTTGATACTGCCCTCAACTGTGCCCCTCTCTTTTGCAGTAGGTTACCCTAATCCCATTTTACTTCCATGGATTGTAATGGACCTATTTATCTTATCCGTTTAAAGCTGTTGGATGTGAATTGCACTGATACATGAATTCTGTTGCTCCGATTGCCCCTTCTGCTGCGACTGATGATAGATGGTGGTGATGATTGTGATGATTGTGATGAGATACGGAATCGATTTCAGATTTTTTTCCAGATCCAGGATGAAAGTGGGAAGATTCTGGGAGATCCAGGAAGCAGTGATCCGATGGGAATGGGATTTGTTCCTAGAGGATGGGGCGTAGATGAACGGTCAGCAATCGCACATAAGCTGTATGGCCTTGAGAAGCACCTGGAACGGCTAAAATCCGTCCTTTTAATGGGACCGAAGGGACCCAAGGTTGTCGGGATTGTCGGGACCACACAAAACAAAGGGGCAACTGGTGGTAGTGCACCTGAGGTGGGAGGCAGAGGCAGCAACCTCTCCCACAAGAGACTGGTTGAGGCAAGTGGCACTGTGCTGAAGATCGGGGGTATTGGGAAAACTACACTGGTAAGAACTCTCTTCCAGGACCCTGATATCCAAAGAAATTTCAGTGGAGGCATGTTTTGGGTGGATGTCCGCAAGAGCAGCGGCGATGCATTTGCTATTCAGAAGAGCCTATGGAAACAGCTCGCTGGTGTAAAATCGCTTGTGGACGGCGACATCTTCCCTATGGTAAAGAAGGAGTTGGAGGATAAGCGGGTACTCATTGTATTTGATGATGTATCCGATCCAGAGACCATACGATGGGCCTACGATGCTTTATCCGATGCAGGGAGGTTGGTAATCACCACACGTGATGAGCACGTCCTGGGCACTAATGGGGGAGCTGCCTTGACCCCTACAACAGGACCTCCTGCAGCTGAGCGTCCCACAGCCTCAGACCGGGCTCAGACTGCAGTTCTCAGGCTGAGCACAATGGGCTTAGAAGACTCGATGAGGCTACTGTGCCGCTATGCCTTTGGTTCAGAAGAGCCGCCTCCACGTTTTGAAAGCTTGGCAGACAGTGTGTGCAGGGAGTGCGGGGGGTTGCCACTGGCACTGACAGTCATTGGGTCCGCACTCCATGGGAAGGATCTGGACAGCTGGAAGTACACGCTGCGCAGGCTTCAGGGTGCCAGGGCAATAGGGGAGCAGTTCTCTAGCAGCTCGGTCTTCGACTGCCTGCGAGTTGCATTTGATGGACTCTCGATGGATGATCCTCGGTTGCAAGACCTTTTCCTTGACTTGGCGGCCTTCCCAGAGAATGAGCATGTTCTGGTGGATAGACTTATTCTCCTGTGGACCTCCTCGAGGGATGTAGGAGGGAGTGAAAATGAAGCTCTTGCTCTCCTGGCATTGCTCATATCAAGATCTCTGGTTCAGTGGGGTTTTGATGCAAGTGGGAAGGCTTTCTGCCAGATGCATGGGGTTCTTAGAGACTTGGCTCTTGAGATTACAAGCATCACTGCCAAGGATTTCAAAGGCAAAGGCCATGGTGGGCTGTCCTTGAAGCTGGCGTCCAAGGTTGGGGATCTAGCTGTTGGTGGTGAACCGGCTCCTGCAGGAGTTCACGATCAGGATGTAGCGAGGAGGGAACGAGTTTTCCTCACAGGCCCAGCTTCAGGTGAGGTGTTGAGTGCAGCCAGCCAATGGATGGAAGATGTCACTGCACTGGGATTGGCGGCACGGAGGGAAGGACAACCTGTCCCAGCGATCGATGCCAGAAAGGTGTCATTAATGGCCACGGATATCACAAGCTTTTCTCTGCCTGTTTCTATTCCGAAACTGGAGGTCCTGCTGCTCGGAAAGAACGCACAACTTGCAGATCTCTCTCACGATTGCCTTGCCTCATGTCAGCAGCTGAGAGCCATCGATCTGAGCAACTGTACTGCACTAATCCATTTGCCAAAGTCCTTGGCCACCTTGAGGGAGCTAAGGGTACTGGACTTGAGTGGGTGTTGGCGCCTTAGGCTATTGCCAGACTCTCTGGGTTCTTTGGCTCAGCTACGAGTGCTCAACCTACACAAGTGCAAGAGCCTTCGGTCTGTGCCTCGCTCCCTTGGCCAGCTTGTCAATCTAAGAGTCCTTGATCTCTGCGGAGTGGAAAGCGCAGCCAAGATTCTCCCTTTCGAAATCGGAAGGTTAACCAGGCTTGAGAGACTGGACCTGTCAGGCCTCACAATGGGTGCGCTCCCACCGGAAATTGGGAATTTGTGCAGGTTGCAGTACCTCTGTGCCAAGAACAACCATCTGGAAGTCCTTCCCAGTGAGGTCAACGGCCTGGATCAACTCACAACGCTGGACGTCAGTTCTAATCGGTTACGAGAGCTGCCTTTCTCGGCTAGTGTTCAAAGCTCGCTCGACCGGTTAGCCTACTTGGATGCTAGCTGCAACAACTTGAAAGAATTGCCGCCTACCTTGGGACTAGCTCTTACACAATTAACCATGCTCAATGTCAGTTACAACCCATTGGAAACTCTCCCGTGTTCGATCGGACAGATGAGCGAGCTGAGAGAACTGCATGCGTGGGGGACATCTATCAGACTGTTGCCGCCGTCATTGAGCGCGGCAACCAATCTGAAGGTGCTCAAAGTAAGGAGAGGGGTTGGTGTGTCGGAGGATGCTGGAGGTGGGGGGGAGATTCAAGCCATGCAGAGGTCGTTGTCAGGATTGTTCACAGCACAGAGGCACAGCGAGGACCAACTGCCTCGGAGGAAAGAGGACGAGAGCGGCGATGATGAGGCAGCAGCAGAGGATTCTTGTTTGGACTTCAGCTCACTCCGGCAGCTTGTGGATGTCGATCTTGAGGCTTGCCCTTTACCTCCTCCTGCTCTGCGATCCTTGATGACCGTCTCTGGCCTCAGGTCTCTAACCTTTGACTGCAGAAATGCTGACTTGATGAAGGGCGAGGCTCCTGCTCATGCGGTAGATTTCAGTGGTCTCCAATGCTTAGAACACTTGCGAATCAGTTCCTTGATGCCTTCCAGTTTATGGCCTTCGCTCGGTCAATTACCAAAGCTGAGGGAGCTAGAACTGTACAATCTGAGTGCCATTGTTCGGTTTGCCAGATTGGACTTCGGCCACTTGCGGCATCTGGAAGTTCTGAAGCTTTCTGGGTCTAATTCGATCATGTTTCCCGTCACAGTGGGCAAGCTGACTCAACTTCGCGAGCTTCTTGTCAAGGGGTTTGGGAGGCTAACTCATTGTGATAATGTCAATTTTGAGCAGCTTACCTGTCTGGAGAAGGTGAGTTGGTGGGGGTGTAGTAGCATTGAGCGACTGCCCAAGACTCTCGGAAAGGCTTCCAAGCTGACGTCTATCGTGGTTGGCCATTGCCCTCGTCTCTCTTTCGTACCGAAAGACGTTGCAGAGAAGCTCAAGAAGCGACAAGTGAGTTTTTTTACCTACAACATTTGCGAGCCAGTGAAGTATTTCTAAAATGTAAAGTAAGTTCAAGTAACCCGTCGTCAACTCCAGCATGCCCGCTCACCTCTCCAGCTCTCAACCACTGGATCATTCACTCGTCGTGTTCCACATCTCATCATCCGAGGCCCGTTGTCAGATTCATTCTCATGCGTACACAGGCTCAGGCAGGCAACACATAGACACAAGTGCGAATACAGGCAAACGCATCGACACAAGTACGCACACAAGCACTGACCCAAACCTACAGGTACAACATACAAGTACGCGGACACACCCAGTTGGACACAAAAGCGAGTAGGAGCTTTCTTTTTTTCACCATCCCAATCCAAGTAACTTGCATATCAAAACGTTTTTTTTCGTCGAGCCATCGGCTGCATTCTCAGTTGCACGTTAGGGCGTGATCATCTGCGAACTTGCGGAGTGAGTTACCAAAACCTCAGAAATTCGGGTTTCGATTCCGAACATGGCAGAGGACAAGAGAAGAAGAACGGCACAAGATCAACGTGTGAATCCTGAGGAAAAGAGTTGAAGAAGGTAGGTATTTTCTCCAGTTTCCTTAGTTAGTACTCTTCTATGATAGCTCCTTGCTTCTCTGTGTCACGTATCTCCGGACTTCTCTGTGGTCTCGCCAGTTCATGAACCAATTTACGGATTCCAGACATCGAGCGACTAGAGAAGGAGAAGGGCACGAGGGTGCTGTGTAAAATCGGACTAAATCCTGAGGAAAAAGAGTTGAAGAAGGTATTTTCTGCAGTTTGGTTAGTAAGTACCCTGCTACTGATAACTCCTTGCTTCAAAGTTGTCCTCGATATAATGCATAATCTCTCTCATAAAAAAGTTAATCCTACTTGATCGATATGCATATCAATTTATCAAATCATGAATTTAATATTTACCAGGGTCTGCGCACAGTACAATGATGTGGCGGCATTGCTGTGCATTTCTCATTTCATAGTAGCACTGCAGCAGCTCATTTGCTGTTGGTGGGTTTTAGACATATAGACAATTTGCCCTTGAGGGTTTGGCCAGTGGAAACAATAAAAGATGCAAGGGGTTCTCTTTTGCTAAGACCATTTTTTAGGCTTCGGATATACCAGAACAGGATCGCCATGGTTTCCGAAAGGCTTAGTAGGTCAGCATGTGTAGGTAGGCTCCCTCTCCCACTAGTGCCTGAAAGCTGGAGAATTGGATTTGACAGGGGACCTAAGAAGAGATACCCAGGTTGACGGAAAGTCTAGACTAGTTGAGAATTTTTGCGGCGTGCAGGTTTCTTTTCCGTGAGCTGCTCCCCGCTCTGCAGCTTCGGGATAGGTTTGGAAAGGCTTCAATGGCATTCCCAGCTCTGTGTCAGAGCTCTGCCTCATCTCAGTTAAGGGCTGAGGGCACAGATTTGTGTCCGAACTTCTGTTCGGCAGATAAATCGGGATGCGTGCCTAAGATTTCTCCTTTCCCACAGGACAGGTCAGGAAACCTGTGTGTTTATATAGAGGTCCACTTTTGGAAGGAAGGTTTTCCCTATCTCCCAAAGGGGACATCCGTTCGCTTCCCCCTCTCCCTTTCTTCTCCTCAGTACACAGCTGTTAGGAAGACTAGGAAGGTCACTATGTTTCTCTGGGCATTGTCATCATTCCTGATGGATCTCTGGGAGGGAAAACAGCACAATGAAGGCTTAGCTTCAGGGGGGGACATCTGAGCAGATCTGGCGAATAACGCGGATATAGCTAAACCTCTCTGAGGTCTGGCAACCATCCCCAATTTTTTTTTAGACAAAAAAAAAGGGATTGACAATTTGACATGCAGTCAGGTAGTGAAAAAAAAAAAAAGGAAAAAAAAAAAAAAAATAGTAGTGCAGAGAGTATCGTAGGAAGTTTCATCCTTTAGAGATGGTCGGTAGCTTTGTGTGAGCAGGATGGAGGGGGTTCTTCTTGGCGGTTATGCTCGGCTCCTTTGCTCAGATCACACACAAGATGGACTCTGCCTTCTTCCTGCTATCCCCTCTGCAATTCTCGTACTACTCAAGCGGTGCTACGATCAGCGAAATCTGAAATGTTCATTAGTCTGCGCCCATAGATCTGAGATAGAGGCACTTCTCATCGAACTCCTGTACATTTGTGTGGAATTCTTTGACTATCAATTCAAATGATAGAAATAGAAATTATAGAAGTATATTTTGATGCATAATATTCATTTGTTATTCGGTATTTTACTTTTTTTTTTTAATTCTAAAGGAGAGAAGCAGAGGGGCAGAAGGGTGTTGCTAGCATGCCAGTTCTATTATTTTTCCACAGCATGCTGCCAGTTGTCCTTTGCCTCTTATCTTGTATGATTTCGCTTACTCACACAACCTCGTTGGTCTGTCCAGATACGAGGTCCTGTGTGCTCTTCTGGCAGTATGATCAGCAATGTCGAGAATGAAACGGCGGGGAGATAATGTATCATCCACGCGCGGATAAGTGGGTATAAATAAGGGTATGTTGTATACTGTAGGGGAAATAATGTATTGTCCACGTACCGATAAGCTTGGTAAGAGAAGCGCAGTGATAAGCGTACGTGTATGTGTCTTCGGGTGTGAATTAATATATTGTGAATGACCCGCTGCTATGGATTGCACATATGATTGTCCCAGAATTGAATGATTGTCGTTGGCGTTTTTTAACTTTTTTCCCCATGTGTTTATCTCTAGCTCCATTCTAACTTTCCAGTTTCATCTCTTGGTCACTTTCTTCTGGATTGGAGCGAAGTGTGACAGAATTGCCTGTGTGGCGCTGGCCTTCTGTTTGGTATTTTGTGTAAGGACGCTGCAGCCTGCAGCCATGCAAGGGGGGGGGGACGGATATCATGAGCTGTATGGTGCCACTTTCACACACCGTATCATGGCTGTAGTTTCTAAGAGATTTAGCTCTTGTGGCTGAAGCTGCCGGTTTGACTCCGTGCTTTCAGGGATAGGTCTAAGGTCTGAGAAAGGATTTGACACTGTCCTCTGTTCCATGTTTCCTTTTTTCTTCGAAGAAGGGCGACGGCCCGAAGATGTCACCTTGGAGCTGGCCGCGCACAGGTAATTCAGAGTTATTTTTTTTCTGTTCATCTTGTTGCATCTGGATTGGACTCGTGTCTGTATTTCAAGAGTTAAGGGCTGTACCAACTGAGCTACGCCTGTTGGTTCCATCTCTTCATCTCGACTGTCTACTGTTATCGCACCAACACTAAGGTGCAAACCTATCGCAATGACTATCTTTTCAACATTGCGTAACACTAATTGTTGCTGCAGACAGAGTCAGGAGGTGCCCCACCTGGAATGGGGAGCACTTGCCAGACAGGTTAAGTAGCCCACATGGTGAGGGTGCATAGGCCATGAATCTGAGGCCGTAACTCATGCTAGGATGTTCTGGGGGCTGTATTGGTGGTCCAATAAAGCCTGCAAAATGTCAGTGAGAGAATGTGCCCTAAGGGGCAGGACCCACTGGTGCAATATTTATGTATGTTAAACGACCTGTATCTCCCAAAGCCGCGGCTCGTTAACAGCTGCGACTTTCGGGATGAACGGGCCTGGGGCGCCATTATAAATTCAGTCAAGTGGATTCTTAGGGTGAACAACATAGCACCAGTGTGGCCTGCCCTCAAGTAGTAAGCTGCATATTGGCAGAGGATGCGAGCCAGCATTGCAACATATGGCATACCATGATGTATGTCGCGAAAGCATTTGACTGCCTTTGCTGGTACTGCATAATACATAAGAAGACTTGAAACTTCAAACAATGAAAGCCTCCTGTTTGGTTGATGTTTCGGTCAGCTGCAGGTTAGCGAGAGTCGCCGAGAGAGGATGATAAAAGGCCTCAGTCACGTCTGGTTTTCTATATCCATTGTGCAACATGTTGGTTGAACCGGGGACCGATACCTCTGCTCCATTCTCTTCACTTTACCGTGTCGCTATTACATACTGGAATTTTCTTTTGAAGTTCCTTGTTTAGCATTTTCATTCATGTTTAGTAGCTTTCATGGGGGGTGAAAACTTCTGAGCAGTCTGTCGGTTTTGGCGGATTGCACAAAGGGGAAATTGGTTTGGTGATTTAGGCTTGAAGGTATTGCTCAGTGCTCACTTCCAAAGCTCCGCTGTCCCCAGATTCCCAGACCTATTTTTCATTGCCAGTCAATCCTCAGGCATGCCAGACCTCAGGCCGTCGTGATTCTGATCCGATGAAAGGGGTTGGCAGCCATAATTTCACGTTTTGGCTACCCTACACCTGCTGGGCAGCTGTCAGATTGCCCTGCAGCTCGTTTTTACTACCAGCACAATCTACTGAGGGTGTCTGGGACATTGGCGGCCGAACCCTGCTTTAGGGGTGTATGTCGAACCTCTTTGGCTAACCAATCTGTGCCAGCGCATCCTTTTTTTTTTTCTTTTTTTATGTAACACCTCTGGATACTGAGGAATGGTGATACGAGCTCCCACTCAGCAGCAGCTCAGCTGGTGACGCCAGTCTATTGGTGGGGAGTGTCACTCAGCCGGTGGAAACCGGATCCAGCGTCCCATGATCTATCAGAACAACCGGGCTGAAGTTTTTGCTATGTACTGGCTTTTCAGGCTCCGATAGTCTCTCAGGTACTCAGCAAGAGCCTGACTACAATTTACTGCAAGCTCCCAATGTCAAAAAAACTCAATAAAAACAGTCCTGAAATTCCTGCTATGTGCTGCCTCTTCAGGCTTGTTTTTTTTTTTTTTTTTTGAAAAAAGCCCAGGGTGTTGTAGAGGCCAAGGACCATATTCGCGGTGACTGCTGGCAGCGGCAGCCAATAGCCGGCCAGATATTCAATAAAATTCTAGCTGCATCATTCTTACAATTCTCCCATACCAAACCATTGCGAGTCTTCAAAAGATAACTCAGATGGGGGAAAAGGGTCAGGAAAAAGATGTGGTGATCTCAATGAAGCCCCTGGATGGATGTCGAACCAATTCTGGAAGGTGATCTCATAGTCCCTTTTAAAATAAACCCCGTCTTCCCCACCACCTGGCCACGACACCTCCCCCAGTTTCTCCCCTGAGACCCTCCCCCAGCCACTCTTCCTTTAGTTGTATTGACAGGATTTCTATACTCAAAGCAGTGCATTCAGCTCCCCTGTTCCAGAGACAACTGTTAAAATTGGAACGATACAGAGAAGAGTAGAATGCCCCCCCTGTGCAAGGATGACACCCATAAATTGAGAAATGGTCCAAATTGGAATGAGCCCATCAATCGTGAGAAGCCTCCGCAAGTTGATTAAGCAATTATCCACAATCCACTCAACAAGGAACCACTCACAATACAGAATAAGTCCGGAAACTCAAATGTAGTCCCACTATGAGCACTGAGTCACTAGAAATGACAAAAAGGTGTAGAAATAATGGGGGGGGGGGGGGGGGGGGAGAGAGGGAGAGAGAGAGAGAGAGAGAGAGAGAGAGAGAGAGAGAGAGAGAGAGAGAGAGAGAGAGAGAGAGAGAGAATGGTTTCATTAATAATCAATAAGACAAGTTAACTGACTCTTCCACCCCTCTTCACCTCTGGGGACCTTCTCCCACCAACTCGCCACCTGAGCATTTAAGTCTCCTGGAAGACATTGATTAAGTCTCTGTGCAGGGATCAGCTATGGCGCTCAACCTCCAGCGTCAATTCTGGTTGTGGATGCTGGCACCTGCCTTCTTTAGCTTCCTGATGCGACCAGCAGCTCCAGTATCCCCAGCACACAGGCAAGTCAAGGTAGGCTTCCCACTCTCTCTCACCGTCTTCCCTCGCAGTGGTGATCACCCTCTTCCTTGCCCTACCTCTAAGCTACAGCTATGGTCCCAGTCATCCTTCCGAGCTATGGATTCAGCACCCTCTCTCCTTCCTGGGCCTGGCCCTGAGTTCCTCCTCTCTCTGCCGCCAGCGCCCTCGCCCTTGTTTACCTCGCCAGCAACGCTCTAACCACCGACGTGTGCAAGGCAGAATGAGGCTAGCCGTTCTTTCGTAGTGTTGATCGTCCTCGGCCTGCTTCAATTTGCCTCCCCCGGCGGTGGAGATCTCGATTTGGGCGGCCCAGATTTGATGTCGAGCGAGCTCAGTGTGCCTTGACCAGTATGACCTGCAATCTTCTGCAACAAATTAAGAAAGACTTTGGATGCGCATCAAATCTGTGGCCTTAATTGGCAGCTGAGAAATCTCTAACTCGTATATCTACGTTTCCCGATTTGGGCCTGACTCCTGATTTTCCAGAAATCAGCTGTCTCATGTGGGGGGGGGCTCACACTACCTCCTTTTATCCTGGATCCTATGCCTGTTGACCCTGGGACTTTTCTCAGACCGCTCTCAGACAAGAGATGCGATTTGACTGACCCCTGAATCTAGGCTTGGACTAGAAGTTGCGACCCTGACCTACATTTGTGTGCAGATTTTGAACTGAGTTCTTCAAATAAATTCCTGTCCGCTGGCATGTGTTTTGCTCAGTGGAGAAGTTTCACTCTATTGAATATATACAAGGAATTGAAGGTAGTATTTTACCCATGTTAAGTCATGGACTGGTTTCTTCAGCCCTTTTTTTTTATGTGTAGGTGCTTTATATGATCGACATAAAACCTGACTTGTTAAATATTATGGAGGTTTAGTCAGTACAATGCCTATCTTCTCTACTATTTTCCTGTTTTTTACTTCAGCACATCCCAATTTAGAGTCTCATCTCAGAAAGAAATTCACTCTTCACGAGTTACAGTTTCTCTTTTTCTCGTTCTAAACCTCGATCCTAACTCGTAATTATTTTTGCAGCAGTAGGTAGAAGTTTTTTTTTTTTTTTTTTTTTTTTTTTTTTTTTTTTTTTTTTTTTTTTTTTTCAGTTGTACGAGGGCCAGCACTAGCGGTCCACTTGTTGGCTTCAATCGATTGGTGGGGAGTGGTACCTGCAGGAAATCAGGTCCAGAGTCCCTTATACAAAAGAATACTTCAGAAATGCTGATAAAAATATAAGAAATTATGAGACTTTGAGACTGTATCTCGACTGCGGCCAGCCTCTTCAGCCCATGAGTGACTCCCAGATATCCCCTTGTTCCATCTGGCTGGCCAAGCAACCTGCTATGGTGTCAGCCTCCCTAGCCCTTGCATCCAATGCCAGGCCCTGAATCCCTTGCTCTTCCTCCCACCCCTTGCTGATCTGCCAGGTTGATGCCAATCCAACATCTCTTGCCATGCCTGCTCTTCCTCTTCTGTTGGAGGGAGGGGGGAAGGCTGGGGGGCACCTTGCCTTCCTGGGGGGCACCAGGGGGAGGCATGGGCTCCTCTCCCCTTTCGTGGGAGACGGAACCCCGACATCACAAGACATATCCAGTCTTCGAAGCATCTAAATGACCACCTACACTGAACAAGAACTTTCCCAATCATCCATCTATGTTCCCACCTTCGATGGATGGACGATATCAAGAACTTTCCCATATCCAGTCTTCGAAGCATCTAAATTACCACCTACACTGAACAAGAACTTTCCCAATCATCCGTCTATGTTCCCTTCGATGGATGGACGATATAAGGTCGAAAAAATATTAGAACATGGGTTTTTCTCTACAAAAGGAAGAGAAAAACCTCAGAAGCAGAGTATAAGGTAAAATCCAGTAACCAATAGGAATCTGAACTAAAAAGGTTAAGGGGGTACTGGTGGTTTAAGAAACAAAGAACTGCTTTTGAGGTTTCTCTCTTCATTTTGTAGAGGACAAATCTGAAAAACCCATGTTCCAATATTTTTTCGACCTGATACCTTCCACCCATCGAAGGTGGAAACATAGACGGATGATTGGGAAAGTTCTCCTTCACTGTAGGTGGTAACTTAGATGCGTGGAAGATGGGATACGTCTTGAAATGTCGAGGTTCATCTGTGAGATAGGATGTTCCATCCTGATCTCCAATCACTTTGAGAACTTTGTGTGGTACATAGTAAACAAGTAGCAGTTTTTGTGTGATCCCTTCTTCCAGAGAGAACTCATTTGACTTCACGTACAACAAATTCACAACTTGGAAACTTGAGGTTCTTCTATGTTTATTACTTTTTTCAATCATTTGTCTTCTTTATGGTCTCTACCTAGATTATATCTTGCTCATACAAAACTACAAATTCACGGGTCCTTGGACTGTTTTTTTTCTTAGAAAGTGTTGCCATCTTTTCTGCAATTTGTTAGGCATTTAAATTGTTACAGTATGGGTAAAGTTGTTGTACGTGCTTTGCTATATTAGGTAAGTCCTCATTCAATGCAATATGCCCAGGATGTACGCATGCACACATAAGTTTTTGGGACAGTTTGTTCATTTCATGACGTACATACAGGCGTAGACGTTGTTGAGATAGAGTGTCCATTTGCTCAATTTGTTAATTAGCCTTAAGGTTTGCCAAAAGACATGGTCAGTTGAGTGTCACTGACTTCCATTAGCCTTCGAC